TGTAACAGTTTGGTTGGCTGCATTTCCACTGATAAAAAAATCTGTGTGGAGCAGCTTCTTGGTCCTTCTGGTCCACTACCATTTTTGTTTTCAGTTTCCTAAAAGAGTTCTTTTTTATTTACATTTTCTTTTTCTTAATCTGCTGAGTTTGTTATTTAACGTGATTAATTCTGAAACATTTTCTTCCATGTCTGAGATGATATAGTAGCATCTATTTCAAAATCTTGCTGGCAGTTTCTGATTAGTTAATTTTAGTCTGAATGAGCTTAAAGTCTCACATGTTATTCTTAGGCAACAACTACAGCTGTCTTTACTGATTTAGACTAAATGCCTATAATTCTATAGCTAACAAAATTAAATCTTTGAATGCCCTATCTCTAGATTTAAATATCACAGTACTTCAGAAGTATGAATATTTTAGGGGGGTAAATTACATGATTCATAGTGATGTATCTGGGGATTTTATTATGTTTCCTTTGAAATACATAATATTATTTAATTCCAGATTAATTTTTCCAGTAGCAAGTCTCAGTATTTCTGAGTCAGCCTTCATAAGCCCTTGTTCTAACATCTGGCTGCTGTTCCCCTGCCCATGCTCCCAGACCCAGCCTGTTAAACATCAGTTGTTTTGGGTCTCACACTCCTTCAAGGCAGGTTTCCTTCCTCACACACTTGCATTACAGTACTGGGATGACTCTCCTGCTTTCAAGCCTTAGTGACAGCTGTAGAGCCCAGATCTCCTATTGAGATGTTCCTGGCATGAGGGACCTTCTTGTAGGAGCAGATATAGGCACAAGAACCCCAGCCTCCAGCAGAGCTTTGCTCATCAGGGCCACTCCCAGCAGATACCCCCATGGGTACATGCAACTTTCTGCCATGTGCAATCCCATATGCACAGGACATGGTGCTCAGTCCTGCCACATTGCACCAGCCCCAGAAGGTAATTTCTTAGTGCTGGAACAGCCCCCACCAAGGGCAGGACCATGTTGGATTATCCCATGTCACATCCCACTTTGCACTCCAGTTTTACAAGACAGGAAAAGGCTGGAGCAAATGGAGGCTGGTTGCTTCACTGTGTGTCCCAGGGAGGCAGAGTCATGGACAGATGGACTCACATCCCCACATTTGCACAGAACGCATGTGGCAGATTGGGGAATTAAGCCCAGACCTCCCAGCTGCCCAATGTCTGAATGTCTCCACTGTGATGATGAACGTTTTTTTTCAGATGAGTTGTAAAGCAGTTAGATTGCTCCTCTGCAGTCATTAAGGATCCCAAGACTGCTTTTCATGAGCTTCCAATAGTATTACTTAGCTGAGTGTCCTGGCCACTGTCCAGTTTGGCTTACTGCAGGCTATATCTCTAGACTTCCATCATTTCAGTTGTGTAACATAAAACATCTTAAAATGTCAGTCAGCACTGCTAATGCTGCCAAAAAGTTACATAGGCTTTCTGCATAGTCACTATATAGCCATGAAGTGAAGCAATGCTTTTATGCAAATGCTGCATTCAGAGTATACTGTCTGCAATTACAGTGCATGGAATTTTTCATTGTTTTTATGACCATTATTTTTATCATATGTATTCATATATGATCTCATGGACTAGGGAGCTCTGTGACATGGCAGTCTTTTGACTTGAACTTGAAACTGATTATATGCACAGAAGTCAGTGTCTTGTTTCAACAGATTTTGGGGGGAAACTCTGGACACAAACAGAAAGAGATGAATAATTTTGATCACTCTTTAGACTCTTGGGTGGAGTCTTAAGAAGTTTCTGAACACCTCTAGAGATTTTTCTCTTCATTTTGATATTAAAACACACATAGGTTTTCATCCTTTTGCTGCCAGACAGCCCTCCCTGAGCAATGCCAATGTTAACAAAGTTCTCTAAGTGTGATCCTGAGTCATTCAGATCTGATAGACTGTGTAGTTTTCGATATTTGACTAGGCTATCTAATCATAATTTGAAGTCCCATATGGCCAATGATCTTCACTTTTCCATTCTTTGTTAATGGGGCAAGACCGTATTTTGAATACTTCTCCTCCTTAGAAAGACAGCTCAGGAAACGAGTCCCAGTACAGGGTATGGCTTCCTTGGCTGTAAACTACACCATGCACACCTTAGGCTGACATTTATCAGTTGTTTGCAAAATGTATGCGAATCCCAGAAAACATTTTAAACTTTGCATTTGCTTGCAGGCTTACTAGTTTCTAAAACGAAGCATGCTAGTTTTGTGAAAGTATTGCATTGACTCCATCTGACAATTGTACACAGTTTGCTCTTTAGCACTAACATAATATTCATCAGCCTTCTTAAGAATTTTTTGCTCATTTTCCATACAGAGACTTTTGCCTTCCACTTAAAATAGTGTTCAGGTTCATCTTGAGTTTCTTTCATGGATTTTTCCACTGTTCTATTTTTATGCACTCATTTCAAAGCCAGTATAGCTCTTTCTCAGATATATAGAGAGGGCAAAACATTCTCTAAGCAAAAGACCATCAGTAGACTTCATTTGCTTTCCTTCTTTCCAGCTAAGTACAGATATATTGTTATGTCTACAGCAGCTTTGAATGTAAAGCCCTTTGTATGATGAGCAGTTTTAGATTATCTGGTTTTATTGCCTCTGTTCTTCTAGAGTTTAATCCATTACACCGATGCTGTATGAAATGACTAGAATAGCATGTAATAGCATGTTTGGGATATTAATTGTCCCTCTGGGACAAAGATTTTGAAACTTTTCTAGATAAGAAGTGGAAACTGTATTCCTTATATTACTTAGAAGTGTGAGTTAATATTTGAGACCTCTCAATAGGTTTTCACTTTCTAGAAGCCTTACAAAGGTGCCATGGCATTGTCAGCCTGCCTTTTTGTTATATATCCTCAAGAAATTTGCTGTACAAACTGTTAAAAATGTCCTTCCATGTTAAATGAAATCCAACATTTGTTATATATACTCACCGAAATGTGCTCTAGAAATTGCAGACTATAATCGACTTGAGAAAATGAAATCAATTAGTATCTCACCCACTAGATTATCAGAGCTTGATTTTCTTTAAGAAAGAAAGAAAAAAAAAAAGTCCCAGAAAAACAAAATGTAAAATCCCCCTATTATGTTTGTGTGTTATTGGCAGATGTCCCAAGCATCTCTGCTTTCTGTATCTCAGAAAGTGGAAGCTACCCTAGAGCACGGCATTTGAAAAGGTGCTGGAGTTAAGATAAACAGCAGGACAGAAACTGGGCTAACAGGGAGAAGGGATGACGAGGGCAAGGATTTCTCAATCCCACCAGATGCAGTTCTCTGCTATTGGGAAACTGAATGCTTGTTTTGGTGTCAGTCCTTTCTTCCTGTGGCTGAAGGGGGTGCCATGCAGCCCAGCGCTTGGGAAGGCAGTTGACACAACCTGCCCTGCCTGTCATTTCATGCAGCTTGCTCTCCTGGGAGAGAAAGCGATGTTGAAAGCTTAGGGATGAGTGTGAGGCACTCATCCTGAGCAACGGTAACAATTTGCTCTTAACACCACATTTCTCCCATCCGCTCTGTGTGCTCAGACCTTCCCAAGAATACGAGTTTACTTTCCTTCAATCCATCTGGAGTAATTTGTGATGACAAACAGATAGCGTGGAGGGAGCAAGCGCGACCCCACGGCGGGACCCTGGCTCCTGCCTAGCAACAGCAGCTGCTGGCCTGCTGGTGGGCCTGCCCCCCGCCCCACGAGGACAAACGCTGGTGTGCTTCGCATGCCGGGCCCCAAAGGGAATAACAGGAGCTGACCCGGCCAGAAATGCCAGGATCACAAAGTCTCAGGGGTTTGGTTGCTAACATAATGCATCATTACACTGGTGAATCAAACTCCTTGCTTGCTGTTTACAGCCGCATTAAATATAAATAAGAGAACTAAACAAACCGCTGAAAAATAGTCTAATTAAATTGTGCAGTGAGATAGGCCCGTGGCTTTCAGTGCTTTTAATTCCCCATGAAGAAAAGCATATTCGCTTTCCTTCTTTTTCATGACATTTGTTCCCACATAGAAAGGCTAAAAACAGCTGGCGTCGGCTTGTTATAATAAAGGACTTTTTCCTGTGAACTCATCTGTGAATGACATTGCAGGGTTAAGCAAAGCGTCTGCAGGACCAAAACAAGACTTAAATCCACAGTAAACATGACCAAACTTTGTATGCCTGCTGATCTGCTTTGAAGAATAAACCTGCTGCTGGCAGGCTTCTTCACTCTCTATCTTAAGAAATGAGCAGTCAGGGGCACAGCATGGCATGGCATGGCATGGCACGGCACGGCATGGCATGGCATGGCACGGCATGGCCCCCTTGCCTGCCCTTGCTAAAGGCTGTGCTCTGCTTTAACGGAGTTTTCCAGGCTGGAAAATAAGCAGGTGCTCAAGTGCCATGCAAGCCAAGGGTTAATTGAGAGTTCTTGTAACTCCTTCCCACAAAGCATTCCCTTTGCAACTTTTACAAGATGTAAAAGTGACAAGCTTTGTCAGTGCCACTTGCGGTCTTTTATTTTTCAGTGCTCCTTCTCAATTCAGGTATTTATAAATTAACTTTCTTCAGCTCTAGCTGGCTGTAATTCTGCCTATGGGAGAGGTATCTATTAAACTTTTTATGATTTGTAAACAAGTACATTTCCTTTAAAAATGACCGTGTTTTCACAAACAATGCCCCAGTCCCTAGATTTAGCTCCAGAGAGGTATTTTATGGAAAATACCTTCCAGTCACTCTGCTTCTGATCACAATAGCAGATCTGAAAAATGGCCACTTGCCACATAGTCCTCCAAGCACTTGTAATATCTCCCTTCTCCCAAATCAAATACATTTGAATCTCTTTGCCTCATAGAATCCAGCAGCTTTTTTTTTGGGTGAGGAAAAACACATATTGTGGAGAATGAGAGGCTGAATATTTCCCTCAGGATTCGGGTTGATAAATATTAAAGAATGGAAGCAGTTCTGATTTGTAGAGAAGAAAAAAGACACTACTCCAATCTCCTGGGCCGTATTGGAAAGCTTATTTTATTTAGCAAAGAGAGTGATGAAAATTGCACTAGAGATGTCAACACTTCAGTAGCCCTGAAGCATTTTGGCACCCTCCAGTCACAGGAACTGAATTGAGAGAGCCTCCCCATCTCCGTGCTCTCTGCCTGTTGTAACAGGTGTGTCAGCGAACACATGCCATGAGCCCAACCACCCCTTTGCCAAAAGGCGGAGAATGGCGCATTGCTGACGAGCCAGTGGGTGCCATTTGGCCAGAGAAGGAGCTCGATGACAGTAATCTGTAAAAACACAAGCAAAACATAACCTTGTGTGAATCTCTGAATGCTGGTTTTTCCTGCAGTCAGTAGCCTCTTGAAAAATATTAGAATTAGGCAATATATTTTAATTACATCAACAGCCATTTTTAGAAGAACACACTGTGTGGGCTCTACAACTCACCAATCACATAAAATGAAATAAGCCACAAGCACCCCCACCTAACCCATCTTCTGGTCCTTAATCAAATTGTATAGCATTTTGAAATTCTCTAGCAACAACATTGCTAAAAATAGACACTTAGGCTACCCACACAGAATATTCTTCTAACCTTTTCAAGTGTTTGCAGTGACAAAATCATTCCTATTGTAATTAATGGTATCATGTTGAGGAAGATTGGGGAAACATACCTAAAGGCTCTGACAATAATTTTGTTACTAATATATTCCCCTGGTTTGCCTTTGAACTCTGTCATTCCTTGCCTTGCAGCTGTGTTTAATGAGTAGTGAGATTATTCAAATGAGCCCACAGCAAAACGTTGTTTTCTTAGTTCCCAGATCTTGAGAAGACATCTCCTGCCACAGTCAGTAGGCAAAACCTGAATCATAACCTTAGCATTGAATTCAATTTTATGCTTAAGGGTTTGTAAGTACCTTTGTACCCTATAAATATAATTGTGCTCACTTGTGATGGAGCTGATCTCTACTTACAGCAGCTGCCAATGAGCCGGCAATAAAACAAAGGGAGAAACAGTGCAGCCTGTCACCGATGAGTGAGAAGCCAAATGTGACTGTGCTTGTGCTGTAGCATACAGACTTCTGCAAGTAGATTGCAAAGAGAGCTTATAGGATGCTCAGACACAGCAGATTTGTATATGGGAGCTTGTTGCCATCTGTTATTTCCCATTCTTAACCAGTGGGTTTAGTCCCTCAGAGAGAAAAGGAAGTCAGAAAGAAATTTAATTCCATACAAAAATACATTGTGTGAGAGATATTTTCCAACATGGGAAAAAAAAATTAATAAGGTCCAATTTAAAACTGATAAATAGTCAATTCAGTATGGTAGGATTAAGGATTTTTCCTAAGGAATTTACAGAGAGATAAGCATCTCATGAATAAATGAATTCAGCTGCAACAGACTAACCTATTTATTGATTCACAAGCCATTTGTTTGAGAGTTTGCCCCTGAGGAGCAGAAGGTATCCTATTATTATTGATAATATAAGAGTTACAGTTATATTCAGAAATGACAAACTACATTTAAATGATGTCTCAGGGTTAGAACAAAAACCCACCAAAGACAGGAAATTCAAAGTTAAGTCTGACACAGTGTCAGACTGCATGGTGTCAGGAAAAATGACAGTTGTGTCTTGTCTTTGCATGTCTTGGCTTCTGTGGCTTATATCTCAATTTTAATGGCATACGAGTGATATCATTTCCCTCTAAATTCATTTCTGTTTTACTTTATCATAAATAAAAAAGAACCATGTAGGACTGTGAATATGGAAAGAGGCCACAACAGCTCTCCTGAGGTGATACCTGCCCATAACAGAACTAACTCTTTACAACCTATTTAAATACCTACTTTCCTCATTTATTATTATTTATTAGTTATATGCCTAACTGGCTAAGCAATTTATTAGTAGCTTTTGCAGACAGATATAAGGGTATAATACCTGGCCATGAAGCTTACAGAGGGGACAGGCAACAGAAAACTAAGGCTTGCAAGGAGGCAATAGAAACCACATGACTGTGACTCTGAGTAGGGACAGGATGTTGTTAGAACTGTTTCAAAGATAGATTTGTTTTCCAATTATCCCTTTTGCTAACATGTGTTGAGGGAAAAAAATTTAAAATCAACATTCACTGTACTGGAGACTTGGGTATCCTCTCTGCTCTGCCCTGATCAGGAGCTGCTGGTGTTCCTAGGCAAGATTGACTGTTGTAATAAGTCACACAGCTACACTGGTTTTCATCCACTGTCTTCACAGAGGAGCACATAGTAGGTCTTGGAGGACATTTTGCAAGATACTTTTGATCCTTTTCTTAATCCACATCCTTGAAGGAACCATGCCCGAGTCCCAGCTAGCTGTGTTGTAGTTACAATTTCCTCGCAGAAAGGAGTTAGCTGAAGCTATACTTGCATAGGTAGGGAAAAACCCACATTTGCCTTTACAGTGCCTTCTGAGGCAATTCATGAAGCTTAAATTATAATTGACAGGAATAAGAAATGTTCCTAATCTTCTATATTTGTGTAGCTAACATAAGTCTCTCAGGTTGCATAAATGCTTACCCTTCTGTATTTCAGCTCCTAGATCCAAATGGGAAGCCTAGAGCTGTTTATGCAGCAAATTTGTTGCACTTCACTCAGGACTATGCTGTTAAGCAATCGACAGATTATATTCACACATCAATGTATTCATAGAAGCTACAAAGGTTACACTCTGGGTTAACTTGCAGGCAGCAAGTGGGGAATTCACCCACTGTAGAGAGGATGGTTCAGTGATACTGGACTATTTAAGGGGCTGATATAAGAAATATTGCTAATGTGTATGGCAGAAACTGACAGCCTAGACCCTTTCTTTATGTATTTCAGTGCAATACAAGATGTGAGGTGGATGCCCAAATGAGGACTCTCTGACTGAGTATTGCTTTCAAAGACTAACAAAATATACATATTTTGCCCACAGTGGGCAAATTCACAGGCAGATGAATTCATCCCATTCATGAGATTTTTATGTTGATTATATGTATATATGTATATTATAATAATTAGATTTTTTCAAAGTTTGAAGAAATAAAATCACAGATGTGATGAATTTTAAGTGGCCATTAATAGTTTGAACTTGTCTAAGTTACAAAACTGCCATAAATGCTAACAAAAGAATATGAAAAGCTAGTGCAGGTGAGATCTGTGTGATATTTATTGGAAGCGGAGTGGGAGATAATGTTTTTTGAAGGCAATTTTACAAATAATTCCTACTCTGCTAGACTTGGTCAGCATTTCAGTGTGTAACTAATAACTAGGCTCATAGACAGAACTCTTTTTTTTTTTTTTTTTTTTTTCCCCGATACCCTTACAGTGGTAATCATGCATCTTGTCAGTTGTTATAAAGATAAAGACAAATGTTCCCCATTGCTGTACTGTCAGCGCATTTCAGTACAAGCAGAAGGGTAGCATAGCACACCTGTTAGATGTGTGGAATACACCATTTGTCTTGTCATTGCTGCAGAATCAGGTGTACCCTGTACTGACAGGATCTTTGGAGCAGGAAAAAATTAGATCAGTTCTTTATGTTGCCATTGACCATTCTGCTGCCAGCTGTCCCCTCCTCAAGACTCTTCAGTAAGTCAGGATACAGAGCATACAAAATGCTAGTTTTTGCACGAGGAAAAGCTTGTCTTTTGACTTGGTGCACATCACATAGAAATCCAGTGTGCTATATGTTCATTATTAAATACACACAATGCGACTTGGAGGCAGAAGTTCATGATCATGACCTTTCTTCTTTTATTACATTCGATTTTTGAAGAAACAGATGGGGTTTAACTTAGCTGTTAACATAAATTGCCATATGGAACAAAACACAGATGATTATTATATTAACACCAATTTTAATATGTTTCATCATGTTATTTCAGCTCCAGTTGTCATGCTATTCTGTTCAGTATATTCATTCAAGAAATTTAATGTTGTATCTTACAAACTGAGATCCTATTACAAACATATGGTGTATAAATAGATTTTGCCACCTGGTGACTGTTAAAAATCTGTAAGGAAGAGATTGCCATAGTGTTAACTCCTCCCTGCTGGAAGTCAATTTTCCAATCACAGACTTTTTAAAGAAACACTAAGAGGTGGAAACTCTTGATTTGCTGCTGTGACAAAGGGTTAATTGTGCTAATTGCATTGTAATACCTGCTCAGTTTAAAGTCTTTCCCTGTTGTGATTGTCTTGGGAGTCAAATTGTTTTTAAATTGGTTTGTCACTTGAATGCATTTGGAACTTTGTGATTAGGGTTGTGGAAACCAAGATAATGTCTAAGTTATATAACAGTTCTTTCCATAATCAATCACTGTCTAGTTTTAGATCTACCTAAGAAGGTTCTTGCACACATGGGAATAAGCTGACTGAGGTAATAGATGAGGTAGGCTAGCTGCTTGTTTTCTGTGAATGTTTTTGCTTCTTCCCACTAGCGAGGGCTGTATGGAATATTTGTAGGATTTCTACTTTATAGAGTCAAGCCCGTGACCTCTGAGACTTATTATGTACCACAAAATGAATGTTAAAAAATGAAGATATCTCCTAATTCTTGAAAATGTTTGCTTAATCATGTTGCTCTTTTCTGCTCCACCAAATGGAGAAATAAAGCAGCAGACCCCATTTATTGACTGCTCAAATTAATGGACCAATTTTTTGGGGCCTTACACCACAGATGGGAATCTGACGATCTGCAAAGAAATAGGAGGGCATTGCTCTTTACGACAGCTTGTTCAGCTCTGCTTGGCAGAAAATATCTACAAATTCAAGTTTTCCAAGCTTCTTTTAATCTGTGTGGACTTCTTGTGTGTTCTTTTGTTTATAGATTAGTAAAGGTATGGAAATGTATGTATGAAGTAGAGGTAGAGAGAAAGGAATGAGACTACTGATAAAATATGTGATTAATGGGTTGAATGGTATGGAAGAGGCTCCAACGGTAACTGGTGATCTAGGGGAAAGGTAGTGGTGCCTATGTTCTGTAATGACCTGAGTACCATAAATGCTGAAGATAGATGGGGAGACTTGCTAGGAATACAGTTACTCCAACAGTGTTATAGGGGCCAAGTAAAGGGCAAGTAATTCCCTAGGGAAGAAACTGATAAAAGGCATCAGGATAGATTGATGGAAGGAAAAAGAAATGGGTTAGCTTAAATTTATTGCAGGCCTGGGCAGTGCTTGCTGTGGATAGAGTGGAAATATGAAAGAGAATTGAGTGGCAGTAACAGTCAGATAGAAAAAGTGGAAGTGGCTAGCAGTGAAAAGAAACTGAAGATGTGATTCAGACATTGTACATAGAAATACAAATAGATGCAAGATGGATGCACAAAAGACAGGCATGGGAGGCTGAGCCATGGGGGATTAGCAGCTGAGAAGGACATGGACAGGGGATTCAGGGCACATGGGGATGAGCAACAAAGAGGAGAGCAACAATGAAGGGGGACAGTGAGCATTATGAGTTGGCTGTGTATGTTGTGAGCTGTTGGCTGTGTATAGTGATGGTGGGATGGACTGAAAGCTGTTGCACCCTTATCATGCTGGGTACCAGCGTTATGTTTGGCCTCTGTGCAACTCTGAGGTGATGGGGCCATTGCTCACGGCTATGGGGTACCTAATAAAAAGACAGTGCCTTAGGCACAGGCTATGGAAGATACGGGGATTGTCAGCGACAAAAAAAAAAAAAAAAAAGGCAGTAACAACAAAGTGAGTTTTTTCCCCAGTGGGTCATCGATTCACTGTACAGTCAGCCTCCGTGAACCAGCCATGCCAGAGAACTATCAGGGGGACTGTGGAAAAATTACTGGAGACTTTTGTATCTAAAGCAAGTATCTGAGGTGTTATCAGGACTGGAAACAAAATGGGTAAGGCACAGAGGACTTGTCAGGCCATTCATGTATCCCCTCCAGAGCATTTGTGTCCAGCTGCAATGTCATAGCAGCTTCTGTTTTTCCTGTGGTGCATATACTCTCGTCTATACTCTGAGTGATGCACATCCATTGGGTCCCCTCGGCTGTTAATGCACAACAGATTGAAAGTTTTTAAAGATTTGGTCATCACCAGAATTTCTGTCTTAACTCTAGAATAATAATCTCTCTTTCTTTGGATCTTTCAATGGGCAGCCAATTTTAATTTTGACTACTGCAAGCAGTAAAGTGTTTTCATGTATTTGCCTTCTTACTTGCTCTGCACTTGGTTTCTTTCCCTTGGCTTAGATATTATTGAAAATAGGTACAAGTTCCTGCTTCTGTTGTGCATCTTCCCATATTTATGCTAATTATTTTTCCTGTAGAAATGCTTAAATCACTATTGTTAACAGTGAATACATTATAGAACATACAGTGTCCTGATGATAACATAGAATTTTACAATCAAGATAAATTATTGTCAGTACTTTTTTTAGTATTTTGTCAGATATAAACTGCATATGACACAATTTGCTGGGGAGACAGAAATGTACTGTATCAAACTACTGTTCTGTGGCTTCTAAATGACTTTAAATCACATTGTATCCGATAATTACTAATGCTCCATTAAAGATCGGAAAGGCAATTTATTAGGAACTCCCAAAAGTCTTCTTTAAGCAGTGCAATCTGTGTTTGGTTAAAAGTTTACATAAAATCAATACAAAATTATAGCAGCATAAATAGTTAAACAGTTCTCTGTTAATGTTATACTTGAATCTGTTCTCCTCTTGACAGTTTGGAAAATGTAAGTTACAGAGGAAAGGTAACAGATCTTGGGAGAGGAAGATACAAACAGTTTTGCTGTTCTGAGTACCACAGAATGGAAGAGCATCCATCTATTACTTGCCAGTTATATCTTTGTGGTCTTCTTTTCATGATAGAAGAATCTTGAAAGTGTCATCAAGATAATAGAAAAAAAACTTTTACTGCATGCTAGTTCTTGCTAGTAAAATGTTTAATATACTTCCATGGCAAGAAATGATCCCAATTTTAATTAAAGTCCAAATCATCTCCTCTCTACATAAAAATAAGAACAATAAAGCAGCAGGTGCTGAGGCTGGAAAATAAGTGTTTCATCCCTTAAAATAAAATTGAGGACAAAAAACAACCAAACAACAACAGAAACCAGCAACAACAACAAAACTTGAAACAAAACCACAAGTGAAAAATAAACTAAGGAAGATTTCTTTCACCTCCACCTACTCTGCCAGTTTATTCACTGGGATGTTACTGCTGCCTAGAATTCGCATAACCTTTTTTTATTAAAAAAAAAAAAAAAGTTGTTAAACTGCTCATCAATTTTCCAGCCTCACAGGGTAATTTCAACTGTTTGGTTATGAATTGAACGTATGTTCTACCTACTGAACTAAAGCAGTGGATTAGTCATAGCTGGTGTCAAAAGTTGCTTTTGTTTACAATGTGGTGGTGTTGGGTATACAAAAAGAAAGACTCCCAAATGTCACATTTGTACCACAAGTAAATAGTTCAGACCTCAAGCTGGAAACATACATATTAATTCTCTTTCTCTTCTTGGCAAGTAATGTGAAAGAAATAATCTCAAAAGTCTGTAAAGAGTACTTTGCTTTTAAGAGGCACATAACAATTGTGTAAAACAGAACAGGGGCAGAGGCGGGTAGTCTGCTGATTCCCATTGTGTTATTGAAGAGTAAAGAAGGGGTGTTTTGTATCTGATTTGGAAGAGTATAAACAGCACAGTATTTGCAAAGGATTTAAGCAGTGCTCCACATTGCATGGTATCCATTTGTTTCTCTAGCTAGGTCTTTGAAAGCCTCTGCTGTCTGGGCTTTGAGAAACCCAGACAAAAGAATTTCCATTTTTAGGGCTTTTCATCCTACCCAAAAGCACAGTGACCTGCGACTTTGCTCCACAGTAAGTTTCCATAACTATCTTCATGTGAAGAACTTCTCTCTTCTCTCAGTACTGTAGATATCACGGAGACATGCAATTTTATGCCAAATGAAGGATACGCTGTTCAGCAACTCTGTTGCTTTTCTGGTAAAGCAGACTGAAAGCCATTACTTACTGGTGCAATGAACTTGCATGCCTAACCACAGATAAACCTTAGGAAGAAAAATCCATACTTAGGTTCTGTTTAAAAAAAAAAAAAAAAAAAAAAAAAGGCAGTCCTTCCCTACCTGAACACCCCATTTGTTTTAGACGTAAAATATAATTTCTTAATGAAGGTATGTGTGAATCTTATCAACCAGCAGTTAATGATAAAAGCAAATCTTATAAACAGGCAGACTTTAAATAATACATTAAAGCTTATCACTGATGATATCTTTAATTATAGTAAAGCAAATTGTAAGACAGTCTAATGGGAAATACAAATTACTTGTTAAAATTATTAACAGAGTTAATGTGCTTACATTTGTTTATGTGTACAGGAATCATTTCAAATATTTGACTGCAATGACAGTATGTGTAAAGATCAATTAAAAGTCAGGAAGATGAGATATTGGATTTTCAGACCTTAATAGGATTTCATCTGCACTTGTTATATTATGTTATCCACTTATAATTGAGCTTCCATCATATCATAGAATCTGTCACTTCACCAATTTATATTTCTAACCTCTAATGAAACTTCTGTTTCCTAAGGAGAATTTTTGAAACCCATGGTCCTGGTAGAGCTATCTGGTATGAGCACTAATCTGCCCTAGCCTGAGATTGGGGTTCAGGCTATTGACATGAAAAAACAAATGCCTACATAGTTGCCTACTTCTCAAGCATCTCTGTCATCACAAACAGATCTAATAAATAGTCTAGATGGAATAAGAGGCAGTTTTATGCAACACAAACAAGGTAAATTGGTAAGTTGAAAATTGCCAGGAGTTAGACTAATATTAGCTTATTTAATTTGGTGGAATGAAAATAACCACTGCAAATGCAACTAAAATACTTTTGTTTACTGGCCTGTGGAGTCAGCTGAAAGGGTCTTTGATAATCTCTCAGCACTGTTTTTGGAGGGTTCAATTTGAGATGCTTCAACACACTAGTAGTTTCCAGCTATGTGATGCTGATGGGGGATCTTGCACAAGACGTGTCCAGGGCCCCACTTCACCCAGCCCTGTTTATCTTTTGCATCAACAGAGATGCAGTGGAGAGATCTCGTGGAGCTTTGACTGGGCAGCATCAATGCTAGGATGAGCTGCTGGTTACATGAATGCAGACTCAAAAATAATGTAAAGACACAGTCTTTTAGTGTTATTGTACTGAAGCTATTGTAACTATCCTCATAGGGTAGCTTATCTCTGTTTCTTGTTTCCATTCAATATTCCAAGACAATAATTTGTTCATAAAGTGGACCTTACCTTGGTCAAGGTATTTCTATATAGTTAACTTTTTAGCAGTACTGTATTGCAACACCTAGCTTAACCTTGAAACCAACAGATGTAGCTTTGAAATGATCTAATATTAGGTAGTTTCAAAGTTTGTAAAGCCAAGCATTAAATGATAACAAAAGGGGCGGGGGGTGGAGGGTGGAGAGGATGCCAGAGTATATATGCATACTGTTTAGGTGTACTGAAAACACCTATTCACATTAAATTTCTGGCCAAAAAAATACACATTTTTAAAAAAGCTTTTTAGAAAGCAGAAGAATTTAAGTTTTTCCTGACATCAGGCTGACTTATGTAAACTCTCCACTGCTACAGATTGTTGCAATTGATTACACCTGGGATATTAAGCAATGTGCTACAAAGATATCACATTGTACTCTGTCTTCTCCAATCATTTGTTCAGTTGCTTAAAATAAATATTTTTGGGAAAAAAAAAAAAAAAGAAAAAAAAAGCAGGAGGGGGAAAAAGGGCAGAGAATATGAAAGAATATATACCAGCTTCTTTGTTGACATTAAACTGGTATTGCTCCTGGCCTAGCCTCGGGTTTATTTACAGAGCCAAGTACTGTTGCTGAGCTGATTTTTAATGGCATGAGAAAAAGCTGAATAGAAATAGACCTGCAAAATAAGCCCAAACACGTATGACTAAAACTACAAGAACTTTAAGGAAAACAAGTCTCACACCATGGGTTGTCCACACTGACCAGGTAGCATTCTCTGTGGCACCCTGGTTATCAGTTGTACTGCTGTTCTCAAGCTGAATGATAAATAGCATTTTAAACACCAAGTACAGAGGAGCAAATGTTTTTATATGAGTGTAGGCTCCCACAACCGTAAGGAGCTGTTGTGAGCATGCTCATCCCCCACCAACATTCCTTTCACCAACGTGTGAAAGAACTCCTTCATGGTGAGGGTGACAGACCACTGGACCAGGCCGCCCAGGGAGGTTGTGGAGTCTCCTTGTCTGGAGATATTCAAGGTCCATATGGACACCAAGCTGGGCAATCTGCTTTGGCAGGGAGGTTGGACCCGATGATCTCTTGAGGTCCCTTCCAACCCCTACAATTCTGTGATCCCCGAGCAAAGGAGATTGGAGAGGCCTCCAAAAGCCAGCAGAAACATCCAAAACAATCAGGCAGCCTCCTGTTGCTCTGATTTAGGCCTGCCATCACTGAAATATTGGAGTTCCCATTCCCAAATGAGTGTTCTGAGCACAACTTTTCTGGGGAGTTAATGCTCCAGCTCCCAGCAATGCTTCACCCACATGGAATTAGCACACAGAAGCAGACAAAGTCCTCACCCCACAGTGCTCCCTAGCTGGGTGTCTGTGCAGAGACCCCTGTCCTGGGGATCAATACTTTGGCATTTTGCTGTGCCTCAAGCTGCAAGCTTGGGATGCTCCTTTCTAGTCCGCTGCCTTTTTTTCAAGAAACCCAGTTTCATCATGTCAGATCTTGCACGGCAGCCATTTTGACGTTGAATTTACACATGCACTGAATGGGATTTGACACTTCAAGAACATGGCTCTGAATTTCACTAGGCAGTTTAAAAAAATCGCCTATTCCATTTGTTGGTTTCACCCTAATTGTTTTAATTGCTTTGAAAATGCCAAGCTGTATATCTGTGTGCATCCACAAGAACGTGCTATTTGAAAATCCTTTCATTATTTTTGCACTGGATTTATTTATTTATTTATTTATTTATTTATTTCTGATTTGGTGTGCTTGGATTTTTGGCCTTAGTTTTCTTTTAATAAAGAAGGGAATGGAGCTGTATAGTTTATTAAAAAATATATGTATGTGTTACCACTCATTGCAGTTAGATTCTGGGTGGTGCTCAGAGAATTATCCGATGCAGAATGAGGCTTGCTGAGGCACTCATTCCTGCCATCTTCTGAAAGCCAAAAATGATCATAGAGAGTGAATCAGGATTGTATATATGATGCAGGTATACACATTGCAGTTGCCTCAGAGTGTACAAACTGTCAAACTTTCACAGCCAATGGGCTAAAACTTGTAATTTCCCCCTTAAAAACAAGTGGCTGCTTTCATTATTTTACTTGCTGGCTTGTTTCTATGGAAACATTTACATGAATAATTCATTTCTTCAACTTTATCTTAACAAAGTCAAAGACTGCATCCTAAATATCAAAGCAGATGAAACTTTTTTTTTTTTTTCACTTTCCTCCAGCTAAAATGGTGTTGCTATCTGTTACTATTATTTTGCCTGAGACAAGCATTATCCTTAATTATTATTGGTCATGGCCTTAAATTATTATTATTCAGTATTTTCAATAATACTTGCACTTAGAGATTATTTTAGTCTATTATTTTCGTTAATTGATCTTCCTGAGACAAAACATTTGAAAATAACATTATGTATGACATTAGCCTTTAAAAAAAACATCATTTCTCAGAATTATTCTCCCCTTGCTGATATTTACTAATTGAATGAGAAAGATCAGCCAGACATGGTGATCAAAAGCCTCAAATTTCTCTTTGACTAGGAGATGCATTCCTGCATAAGCAGTGAAACTGCTGAACGTGCTAGGCCATGCTGCCTTCTGTCACATCAAGTGTGCCAGGAGAACACCAGAAACATTCTGGTCCCGCAGAAAGTGACACTGGCCTGGCCACCAGCCAAAGGGTGATGACCATGGCAGCATGACTAGTGTGAGAGTAGCAAAAGGTTTTGCAAAAAGCAGGAGAGATGCTCCCCAAGCCTGGCCTGACCACCACGGTGGGACTGCAACGTGCAGGCAAGACCATACAGCAGTCAAAGAAAACAGGCATCCTGATGAACCCTTTGCACTGCACTTTGAGGAGCATTGCTTGTTCCCCTTGTTGAAAGACACACTAATTTTCTGTTGGCTTTCATTTACTAAACGTGTTTTCACCAGAAAACTCACAGGATTGCTAGGAAGGTCTTGTATTCCCTGCTAAAATTTTTCCAGGCCAATCATACCTGCAGTATGAGGAGGAAGACAAACTCTTTAGACTGGCTTTTGCAAAATATTTTGATTGTTAGAGAGAAGTGGAGCTGTTTCAAAGAGTTTTGAGTGATTTCCAGTGTCTCAAAAATGTTGTTCTAATTTAGTAGATCTTTTATAATAAGCAATTCATCTGATGACTCTTCATCTGCTTCACACTTCATCCCATCTCCTCTGCATATAGCCTGATATTTAATGACTTAGAATCATACAAAAAAAAAGGACTTGTGGAACTTTCCTAGAATTGAAAACAAGAAAGAAGGAAGCCTGTCAATACATTTAATATTAGGGAAAAAAAAAAAAAAGCAAAACAAACAAAAAAAACAACTTAGGGATAGCCACTTAGGGATAGCTGAAACCTTACAAAATCAGCACAACTGTTATAAAATCAGCTATATTTTCAAAGATTTGGACAACTTCTGAAAAGAAAAAAATGGGAAAAAGTGCTTCTGATTCTGAGTGAATACAGATTTTTTAATGACATTCTCAGTCAATTTCCTATGCAATATGAATGACCAGCAAGCAGAGTTGTCTGATTTTTGTCATATTTATTAATGATGTACAATAGTAGCGTGGTAGCCTGTGCAAATTATAAGCTGATTAGTTTTCAGCCATGTCAGCTAGTACTTTGATCCTGTCTGAATTGATATGCTAAGCAAGGAGAAAGTAAATCATTGCTTAGGTGGGAAGCCTATATCAATACTGCATGCTTCTTAGCAAGGCAGGAGAGGAACAACATATAGTTCATCTAGATTGTTTCTTGTGCTCGAGCTAGCCCAGCCAGAGTTGCCTCAGGCAAGCTGAGCACTGTCAGCTTGTGCTGCATAAGTGTATAGAAGCAGTATGTCCATGCTGCAGAAAATGGTGATGGGAGTTTGGTAGGTCAAGGCTGAATCAGTGCTAAGTCCAAATGGCAGCAGAGATGTTGCTGCTGGAAATGCCCTGGCTTAACTTAGCCATAAAGCTGAGCATCTCACCATGTTTGCTCAATATAGATAGCTTTGTGTTCAAGCCTCTGACTATTAATTCTGATGGCTTTGCCAAATCTCTGTGACTGGTTTACTATTATATCTCCTTCTACAGACAAGCCTCCAACTTCTTAAAATTAATGTGCACGACTTCGTACCATTAAATAGTTGCAAGAATTCACCCTCAAAAGGTCATATTTTATTGGTAGTCAAGGCACTCCTGTTGACAGGTTGAGTTAGGCAGTGTGTATACGCACATTTGGGCATTCATATGTCTATGATGAAGTGCTGTGAACAATGTATAACAGGAAAGCTGGGCAAGGGTTCAAATAACTAGACTCTCTTTTACGTGAAAACAATACTTTCATTACATGAAAACAACACTGTTCTTTACTGTAGCATTATAAAAGCATGACACAGATAACAAGATTAAGAATGAGAACTTGAATCTACCTAGTCTAATTCAATAGTTCCTTGAATTGTGATACTATGAAGATATGTACCATGTCTTGTGACAGAAAAGAGAAAGGCTTTAATAGTTTCTATTTAACAACTGCAACACATCCTACAATTTAACTCTTCTCATTATGGCTTTTATTTCAATTCACTGTACAATATTTTGCCATGAGAGAACTGTATGTCTGTGTGTATGAAATTAAGGTGATGTCATTGCAAGTATCTCATTCAGGCTACATCTTCCACTGTACAGGGAGGGAAGAAGGAGGAGGAAGAAGAGTTACATGGGAAATGACAGTAGAGCACTGTCTTTTAAAGTACCTTGTCACAGAATCACAGTTAGGATCATATTGATTGCAAAACTCACTGCCATGTAAGAATGATGTAGGATACACTAAGGCATTGCAAGTAATCAGAAATGAAACCTTCTGTTATTAGACAAATGGTTTTACTTCAGTGCTTTGAAGAAAACAAGTAATCTTTTTTTTTTTTTTTTTTTTTTTTGTCAGGGGTGGGGAGGAAGGCAACAGAAAGCACGTTGCACTGTAATTATCAGATGAGACCATCGTGTTGATTTCTCTTATTTTGTGTGCTACAGTTCCAACTCACTGATACTTTCTCTGCTCAGAAGGCAGACCCAAAATGAATCTGCTCATGCCTGACAGTAAGTATGAAAGCCCTTGATATATTCCTGTAGTCTCTTGGGTGCTTACAGTGAACAGCATTTTATTTTTTAAGCCATCCATAGTATACATGAGACTCCAATTTGGTGAAGTTCTCTTACTCAGAAAGCCATATAGGCATGGACCTTAATCAACAGGATTTAAAGAGAGCTTTATAATAAGTCTTTAAGAATGTAGTCCTAGAGAACAATGCAAATGTACTTAAATATGTACTTAAACATATTCCTGAGTTAAATCTATTATTCATACTACCAATTTCTAAGAAAAATGTATAAGCTCTCAGCTGTTGTTATGCCCTCTGTAAAATGGGAGTTATTGTACTGATAGCATGAGCCTTTTGGGAAATCTGTGATATAACACTGAAAACAGTTTGCATGCAGCAGTCTCCCAAGGGATGTGATGTCTTTTGCTGGCAGAGTGAAAGATGTGCTCCTCAGGTGCTGGCGCACAGGGGGTTGTGCATAAGGATGTGAACACATATGATGTAGTAGTGGGATGCAGAGCAAGAGGGCTTGGCTTGGAGAAGGACCAAAAAAAAAAAAGGATATGAAATTTTGTCAGTTGAGTGCCCTGATCTTTTTAGCCATAACTACTTTCCAAGCCTCCTTATCAGAAGCACCTCCTACAGAAAGATGGGAGGGTATCCACCTTGCCTTTCTGTTTGATTTTTCCAGTGCCTTGCTGGTGAGACTTGGCTTATTCACTGGTGAGTGCTGGTTGAGGAAGTGGGAATGTAATGGAGGTGTAACTAGGAAATTTCCTTCTCAGCAGGAACTTGTTGTGTTACTTCCCACAAAGAGCCTCGTGGATCCATCTTGTTTGCAGCAGCTGGAGAGGAAATCCCTGCTGGAGGGATTCAGCCTCCTCTTTGCTGGAAGCCATTCCCTGCACCAGCAGGGAGCAAGCACGAACACAGCGGAGGTTGAAATGAGCTCTTTTATCGGCTGCTCTCAAATGGGGTGTTGCTTGCCTGACAGACACATAATCTGTGAAGAAATCCACAGATACAAAGTTTCTCTGACAAATTTTCTTTGTAACTTCAAAAATTAATTTTAAAGCTAAATCTTAAGTCTGAATTCTGTGACTGTTGAAGGGCAGATTAAAATTGTATCATTATCCTCAATATTGCATTTCTGACAAAGAGGACACATCTAGGTTCAAACACAATGTCTGAAGGGCCTAAATGAAGGCCTAAGGGATATATTAGTAATAGCACCGTCCTTTGGTATGTGCATATATAGCCAGGAAAAAAAAAAAAGATACCCTTTCCAGACAATTTCCACATCATTTCCTGTTTCTCCGTGACCATGTTGATCCCATCACTTATTCTCCAATATCATAAACAAGTCATAATATATTAGTAAAAGCAGTTGCCGAGTTCATATAACTGACAGGAATCCTGAGAAATAGGTTATACAGCATTGATCTCCCTGGAGGCCTTAAATAACAATCTGAAATGTATGGGACAGTGATCACTGGGTTTGATGCTGCAGTTTCAGTTTGGTATTTTGCAATTTATAGTTTCCTGATAAATTGGAATCCACTCAGCTGGTTCATATTATGTGGGACTATGAAACTGTCTATGTTACACTGAAGGATTAAAGTGAGATGGAAATGACTTGGAGGTGTGTAATGACTTTGCATACAAAAATAACATCAATCCAAAATCATCTCCACCCCATTAGCAGGAATGCTACAACACATCATGTAGACAATGCATTAGTTCAGGGTGCCTCTCCACTCTAACAGGACATTCCAGCCCCTATTTTCAGGATTTCCCACTTGACTGTTTGAAACTATTGCCTTGGGCTAAAACTTGTATTTGTAAAACAAGGTTTCAGCTTGGTGAGATATTATTTTTCCACTCATATTTTTAACATTGCAGAAGGGGATGGGGGTTGAAAATCAAGTTGTCATTCAATTTGTAATGCTCTGAGAGTATAGAAAAGACAATTTGCAGTTTGAAATATACTTTTCCTTCCTAATTAGTTTCTGGATGTTGGTAACAATCTGATTTTTCTGTGAAAGAATTCCAATAGTACAAGTGGACATACCATTAAATGTTTGCAAAATATTTTGGAAGGTTATGCTTTTCAAGCTAACATCTTTGATACTCTAAAGACTGAATCAGGATTGGTGCCTAAGAAAAAGTTTGTTAAAAATATTAAAGTTGGCAGAGTTGTGTCATTTGAAAATCAGTCTACTACACGTGAGTGAAAATATTTTATCAACATGAAATATTTACGGATTTTATGCATTCGATAATGATTCAATTCTTTTGTACAGTGTAACTGGTGATCTGCACCATGAAGGGTTTGCAGAGCTGTCTTTGAAGGAAGGACTCATTCCCTTATCCATGGTATGTGTGGGAACCCTATCACTTGATATTGCAAGGATTGACTTTTAGGTACTTCGTTCCAGTGACTTTGGGGACATTTTGTTGCTGCTCTCTTTTGCTCTGCCACTGCACTCAAAGTCCATTTGACTACTTTTCCTCAGAAGCCATGTAGACAAAACCCACCCAGCAGCTGGCAAGCAGTGGGCCATCATTTGCAGCAGAGCAATATTTTGTGTAGATTTTTCTGCTTGGTTATTTTTTGTTTAGAACATTTCAACAACCATTTTTTACAACCTGGTGACAGGAAGAGGGGTGCCAGGACAGCCCAGGGAGCAGTGGGAGGCCAGCAGGAGTTCTGCTGCCTTCAGCCCATGGCACTGGCCTAGAACTAGGCGGAAGCACCTTCACTCCTTCAGGCCTTTTACTGAAGATTCAAACTATCAGGACCATCCTTTTTGTTCTACAGATCTGATCCCATGCCACAACTCATTAATTGTAAGTTAAGGGCAAATTGTGGCAGCTGTTCTTGAGAAAAGGTTTGAAACTGTAGTCTTTTCAAAGCAAGTATTGTGCCACTCAGTTGAAGGATCCAGCTGGTCTTACCATCATGCTCCTGGAGAATCAGGTTATTGCTAGTGACAGCATGCTACCCATAAAGCTCTAATGGAATAAAATCAATATCTTTGGTGAGTGTTTGCTCATTTAAATAGTTACTAGAAATGTCTCTTCCCCACTTCTGTAATGATTCCTCTGTTTTTCTGCAGTCTCTTTATGCAGTGGTGCTAAGACCTCATATACAACATATGCTCTCAGCTAGCACCACTCAGAGACAGGATATGGGACTTGGGACAGATGTAAAAGACACACCACTGGCAGGACTCTCACATGAAATGGAATTTGGGGTCAAGGTCATTTCCCTTCTTCCTGTTTCATCCTCTCCCCAGTGTGAAGGAGGTCACTCCCCCTTCATCTTCTCCATACTATTCAAGTTTCTGTAGGCTTTAATCTTACCACCCCTCAGCCGACTCTCTTCCAGGGTGAGGAATTCTAATCTATTCTTCTGTTCTTGAAAGGATGCCATAGCCTGGCTCTGTTTTCTTCTTCTTCCTCATGTTAGCCAGTTCTCTCACATCAATTCTGAGGTGACTAAAATCACAGAGAGTCATAAAAATGTGTGCACCCTGAATTTATAAATGGCATAGGTTATTTTCTGTTTTGCTCTGATAACTTTTCCAATAAGTCTAAATATCTGATTTGCCTTTTTTACTCATCATTGTGCTGAGGTGACTACAAATACAGTATTTCTTTCAGAGTAATAGTTGGTAAGTTATCTCATCCCTGTACCTGTATAGTTTATGTTATTGTCCTCATGCATTCCCTGTTTCATATTTATTACCACTGGACTTCATTTGCCATTTTATCACTCAGTCATATAATATCAGAAGATCCTTCTGCAATTATTCACAATCAACTTTGGTATGCACATGTAGTCACCTCTTTCCCATTTTATAGCTCAGTTCTGAATATGCTGCAGAGCATAGATGTACCTTGGAACCTATAGTAACATTCCTGTACTGTCAAAACTGGTCATCTGTACTTGCTGTGTAACATAAGCCTTTGTTTCCTAGTACTAGCTTTACCTTTTAATCTCAGAAAATTGCTTGCATAAATTTAAAGCAATTTTATATTGAAATGTTTGTGGTTCCTTTCCTCCAGTTTGGAAGGCTGATTCTGGGACTCCTGCTTGGAAGTATTCTGAATTCCTTTCTACATTAGGTATTTTTTTCTTTTTTTTTTTCTTTTTTTTTTTTCTTGATTTTTTTTTTTAAGACTCTGCTGCGTCTAATATGGATTGCCCTGCTTGTTTTTCACTGGGATCATTGGTAAAACTTTTTTCTGCATAACTTTACCTTTGCAAAGCTTGTGAAAAGATTTTAAAAAAACTCCATTCTCTTGTCTTCATCAAATTTGGTTGAAATTAGGTTCAAAAATTATGTGGGAAAAAAAAGGCACACAGACATGTGGATGCACAGTGACAGCATAAGCCAGCATAAGCGTTGGGCAGCTGGGCTGAAAGAAAGTACAGAGGATGTACTCTGAATTCTCCTGTAGTCTTGTATGCTCACTCCATTGCTATGTATCTGTTTTTTGTAGTCTTTGTCAGAAATCTGACATCTCCAGGTACGCACAATGCATACTTCAAGAAAAGACAAAACCACATAGCTATACATACAGGCATATAATAATAGTGATACATTAATTGTTTTGTGAGCTTTCTAGGAGTATTTCCATAGTGTCAACTAATGTTGAATGGAATAATGTGAGTTTTAGCAAAAGCAGTTTCCATGGTTACACTGGAGGTATTCTAAATATAGCAGATGATGTAATCAGTTACAGGGACTAGATACAAAATTGCTGTTTATTTCAGTAAGAAGTTTCTTCTCTGGAGATACCTGTGAGAAAGTGTCTATATTACTTGTGGATACTATTTTTCAAATTATTTCTGTTGTCCCATGATTTTCTGCTCCTCAGAGCCTTTCCATTTTTCCATTTACAGCCTGGTAGCTTCTTTATAGTTATTATAAATCATATACATCAGATCACTTTAATGCTTTTACAGAATTCTTAACGCTAAATGTAACATTTCAGAAAACAGTTTCCACATCTGGCCAAAGGAAGATTGTAGTTTTTACAATCTCTTCTATCCCATATATTAAAACCCTGTTATCAGCATCTGTCATATCTGTCCATCCATCTTATCAGTGTGTATGTTCATCTATCTTTTTCTCCCATTGCTGTCATGTCTCCAGTGCCCTCTGATCTGATTTTATCCAGAGAGAAAAGTATGGCTTAATGATCTGAACACATCTCCTTTTCCAAGATGTGTAATAAAACATTCCCCTTCCTCACCCCCAACTGAGCAATTATTTCCCAATGGAACACATTTCACTCCATGAAATTTGGGCTAACTACCTTGCATGTGATACACAAGAATGAGAAAAAAGGTGGAATTAAGATTTGTTGTCACCAGGAAAAGAAATTAAGAAGTGGGGAGAGGGGAGATAATAATAATCAGGAAATTTATTTACAGTTGTTTGTCCATCTCTCATTTGTGTCACCTTTCTAGCCCCACTGACTCCTCTTGGGATTCTGGTTTCTTTCTGAGAGTATAGTTCATAACATGTACCAAGGGAAAATAAGTCACTGACAGAGCAGTTTTCTTCCACAGTCTTTTTGTTGTTGTTGTTATATCTACTTTGAGCATTCTTTCTTTAATCAAGAATTCATTTCCATTCCCACTGCTTATTTTACTCTTCTACCCCATATCAACTTTAATTCATTTCAAAAATGACACACTGCATTTCAGGAATGCTAAAAAAATATATGGTGGGTAAGCTGGAAAAAATGTCCTTTCTGAAAGCACTGCTGTACTCACAGTCATATTTTCTTAGTTTATTAAAAGCAACTGGTCAAAATTACTTGTCTTCTGAAAGCAGAATGTTGTGAACATGCCATGTTTCCAATATCTGCAGAAACAGCATTCCTGTTTTCCATGGGCAAAGAGTGCTAAAGTGTGTAAGATTCTGCATTAACAGCTAGAGGCTAAAAATCATGCATCCTATTGCATTTTCACCCCTTCCAATAAACCTGTTATTAATCTTAGTGCCTAAACACTTTTTTTCTGGTGCAGATAGCCTGAAGACGATGATGTGACAGTGACGAAAGACTGCAATAAAGGGCAGCTGAAACTTTTTGGGGAGAGGTTTCTACTTCTGCAAGACAACAGGCAGTGGCAGCATTCGATGAACAGAAATGAATTTTATTTTCAAAATATGAAGGCTCATAGAATTATAGAAATTATGGAAGAAAAAGATATATTGGGCCATCTTTTCCATTCTGGAGGCTGTGGCAGCTTTGTCCCTGCCTTATAAGGTACTTTCTGAGTCTAGGTTTAAGGTCTCAGCAGACGGGGCGTAATAACTTACTGTGAAAAACTGTTCTTGTATGTGGCAAGTTTCATTATCAAAGCTCGGTTTTATATTTAGCTGTGAATGTATCATCTCTGAAAAGATGATCCTGCTATTGCTCCTGCTTTTATCTATGATACCACTTTAATCAACTCCTTTCCATCCTTAACATTCAGGTGTTTCTGATACTTCTGTATGGTCATGTATCCTCCTACTTTTACTTGGTGCTCAGCCTGCCTAGTCATATTTTGGTTTCTCACCTTTCTGTATATGTCAGGCCCTCTGATTGCCACTTAACCTTCCTTGGCAAATGTCTCTTCTTCCAGATAGGTTACTGATGCAGTTGAGTAAGACTTTACCTCAGAGTAAGATTGTTTCTGCAGCAGAATTAACCAAGTTGAAGGCTGCAGGTAGAGCTGTATTCCTGACTGGAAGTTGACGTAGTAGATTTGAGGGGAATGAAATGTAAAAAGTATCTGAGCATGGGAAATATCAATTAAACATACTCAATGCTCAATGGGTGAAATACTAGTCCCACTGAAGTCAAAGACAAAATGCGATTGGCCATGATGTTTCTTTGCACTTACAACAAAAGCAGAGCCACCCCTGAGGACTCTTTTTTTTTTTTTTTTTTTTTTTTTTAAGCAAGATCATCTGATAATGTCCAAATTAGGGCTGTTAAACATGGACCTGTCTGCCACTGATCAGTTTCAAAAACAATACCCTTCTTTTTCTTTTGCTCATTCTTTTAAAGGCCTCCTGATCCTGCCTTTCCATTTAGCAACCCAGAGGGAGGGAAAGATGAAGAAAGTGGATGGAGAACTGACCAAGATAATCTTCCCAAATGGAGCAGAGATATCCTAGGGCAGTCATCTATCTGCTCTAGGAA